AGAGAAGGACGGGATGGCAGGCTGTTTCTGAAGAGTGCCTTGAATCCAGTGAGGTTGAGAACTACAGCCTTAGAAGCTCCCATACTATGAGTAACTTTTCATATGCATTCTTCAGTTTGTTAGCACCTTTACATGTCTTGCTTGACCAGTTGTGTGGACTAGTAGTTACATAGAGGAAAGTCATTCTGAAGTAAGTTTTTCAAGTTGTCTTTAAGGAACAAATGCTTCAAAGTGGCTTTTTCTCCCCAATTTTCTCTATATGCATTTGAACTGTAACATGCTATTCTTTAAACTGTATCTAAAGTACTAGAAAAGGCTGTATAATTTTTTTAGAATGATATGGGGGAGAGTTTATCAGACAAATAAAACCCCTAACATAAAAACAAATCCTCTTACTGCCCCTCTACCCCAGCAAGGGTTTTTCCTCAAGAAGTGAGGAATTTACATTAATGAAGTCTCTTTAGCAGAAAAGGGGAGTACTGTACTTCCAACCCTATTAAAAGGGGTATTATGCAGAACTGCATCAATGAATCTTCCTAGTATGTTCAAAGATGAGCAACCAGCAAACCAAGAATTTCTCTCTCTCTGTCTCTCCTTTTCTGCTGTAACAGCTTAAGAAAGGGAAATACTGGCCAGAAGCAGCTGTGGCATTCGTTACTGTTCTAAAAAAGTGGTCTGTGCTGGTGCCCACTAACAGAGCTAGCTATTCATTTTGCTTAGTAACAGAGCAATCCCCACAGATGTCAAGGTCTGGCCACTGTGCCTCATCCACCAGTCCCTTCTGGTCATTTTGTTTAATACACCCTGTGTACTGCTGTTTGCTTAGAAGAGTGTGGGCAAATGCTTTCGATTGTGTTTACACAAACTCAAACTCATCCTACTAAATCATAGCTTGAAAATTTTGTACGGCTTCTCACCAATTGAAAAAGGAAAACTTGTTCTAGGCTGTGGAGTCCTACACCATCAACTTCTGCCAAATGAAGCCGTTTTGCTGTTCGTTTGCTTGTTAAAAAGACATTGCTTGTCCTGATGAATACAAAGTAACTTTGCAAACAGACTTGTGGAGCACTGATTCTCCAAGTCTGGGGGCAATTCCAGCACTAACTGGCACTAACAGAGTTTCCAAATTGTATCAGTTTGTAAAGAGCAGCACTCTTCAATTTTACTACTGCTAAACTGATCCTCTCCTCTGGGCAGAAGTGAAACAGGGAAGAATTTGTCAATTTAAGTCATGAAAATCCAAGTCAACACTGGAAGTATTCATAGGGGGAGGAATTCTCTTCTCCCCAAAAGAAGCTACAGAAGCACACAGCAGGAGGATAATCCCATAGCTAGACACTTGCATGAGGCACCCACAATCCAGAGGCCAACATAAAACAGAGCATTTTAGGAGTCCAAAGGAAAGACACAATTATCTCTGCACCTGTCCAGCTTTTTAGCTGCTAGCTGTGGAGGAGTGCCAAAAATCTCAGCAAGAATTGGTTCTGAAGGTTATTTTTATATCCATCATGTACCCATCAAGCTAACCTAAAGCAGGCTGAGATTCTTGTACCAGTCTACATCCTCTTCCCTCTTGCAGATCCCCTCTTCATTCAAATCAAGCAACTTCCTCCACCTTTCTGCCTAGTCTCACTAAGGTTTTCATAGAAGAACAAGAGTGATCGTCTCCTGCTCTCAGTTCAGATGCCCATTGGCACGCCCTGTAGCAAGCCAGAGCTGCCATTGCAGGCACAGTCCTGCTCAGGACAGATGGGATGTCTAGGAAATTAAGCTTCTCAAATCTAAGTCTCTACTGATATGAACTGTTATTTTTTGTCATAGGGTTTTGACTTGGCAAAATTTGAGCAGAGACTCTCTCAGAAATAGCAAAAGGTACATCTGTTATGAAGCCAACACTTCTGTCAAATTCCCAGTCTCTTCTCCACTATTTTTTTTAAAGGGTCTCAGAATTTTGATGTGTGATGAAGATTCCCTTTGTTTCTTGTTCTCTTAAACAATTGAAACACTTTTGCTGAAATTTTTGAGGGAAAAGAGGGAGAGGGAATCAAGCTCAGGGCTTAATTTTGAAGGGTTAAATTTTAAGTAACTGAAAAAAACAGTCCCTATAATGGGTAGTGATGGACAATTTTAACAATAGGTGTCCTTATCTGTACCTCTAATTAATCACCTCACTTACAGGGAAGGGCACAGTTAAGAAAGATCAGGTTTGAAAGCAGATTTGTGAATCACCTGTCGTTTTAATAGTGCTTAAAGAGAGATAATGAATATGTTCTATATATAGCTATATTTACTGCTGCATCTTGCTGTTGAAAAGAGTCATTAAAGCTTAAATTCAATGTTATTTTATCAACAGTGATAAAGTAATACGGCTTGTTCCAGGAAGTGAGAGAGAAACACAGGCACTGAAGTCTGTATTTCATCAGCTTAAGGTGAGTTGCCGCTTCGTGGTCTCAATAACATGTTCTCTTGTAGAAAGCTGAAATGGGATAATTCGCTTGCATTTCACCCAGTGACTGTTTCAAATCCTGAATTAGGTCAACTGAAAGAAGAAGAGAGTGCACAGAGGAAGCACAAGGAGGTTAGAAGGGTCAGCCTGAAGAATTAGAAATAGTGGGAAGAATTCTTACTTCAACAGATCTCAAATTCCTTATGAAGATTTAGAGTC